AGTATTATTGCTAATCGAATAAGATGCCTTAAATCTATGAACTATCTTATGTTAAGGACTTTCACTAATTCCTAATAAAACGTACATTTGCTTCATTCACAAACAAAATGAAATTTATAGTTCAACCTCTGATAAAGAATAGAACAACACGCTAATGTAATAATAAGAGATTAAGTTTCGCTGAGATATTATAAACAGAAAACTTACTTGGCTTACCTTGCAAATATCGCACTAAAGCAACAATAGCTCTTTGAGCGTGCCATAGGATTTGTGGCACAACGTAAGTCTACCAAAATAACTGAATGGTCATATATAAAGGTTGTCAGACCCATTGTTACTGATGCTGCTCTGATTTGGTGAAACAAAACGAGGCAAAAGATAACACTGGAGATCAAAAAGTGTACTAACTTACTACTGTTGGAATCTTTATTCTCTCTACATACATATCGGTAGTATATTTAGAAAGATAGGTAGCTCTAGAAAGTATCTTAAACATGAAAATATGACCTAAACAGGCAAGTTTTAACCCATATATTTGGAGGCTTTACTTATGTATGATCAGTAACAACAGTAATCATGTCAACATCTTTCCGAGAACGTTCTCTGATGTAGCCCGAAAGGGTTCTTTTTAAATAAATCTACTTTTTATACAGATTTTTTTAAATAGGACTTGTGATTTATGGTATACAGTCGACTACAAAAAGTTCATTTTCCTTGTGTACTGCAATAGCTATAATTATTTTTATTCTGTAAAAAAACTTTTGTACCAGCTCATATCAAAATATTTGTTTGTCGAATGTTATGTCAAAAACGTCTTTAGTGTAAAGGTTTTTTTGAATTTTAGATAATCTTCAAAAATTCATAAATGATTTGGTGTAAAAGATGCACCCTTCCGTCTACGTCTATGTTAAATCGATCCGAAGATGTCTAGAGACCCACCTGGCGATTGACAAATTCACATCCAAACTCTTCACATAAATCTAGTTTCGAAAGAATCCAACGCGCTGTAATTACATGGTGACCGATTGGTGATTAATATTTGGTATTAATCATACGCCAGCATTGATCATGATCGCTCAAGAATCTGAATATCAGATACCGATCGAGCCTGATATGATTTATCTCTCAGTTAATTTTCTATTCATCCCCGTGGCTAACGAACCAATATGTGAGCAACAATGAGTTTTTATTAAATTTTTAGATGTAAAAATGAGGTTACAGATGATGACACCTGATTTATAGTAATGCAATATTAATTTCAATACATTTGATATTTCGCACATCTTATTTATTTCTTAATTAATCAAAAATTATTTGTTTGTCCTACAGAACATGAAGAAATCATTTAAATTGATCACATCAGAAGTTTTGGCAAAAATGTAAAAAATATTGGAAATATTAAAGCTTTTTAAATTTTAAATAGTACTAAAACTGAAGAATAGTAAAATTATGAGAGTGTTTTTAAGTCTAATAGATCCACGACTGACCAAATCTTGTCTGTAAGAAATTTTACCGGTATCATGTCAATAAGTAGCAGCGATTTGTAAGATGTGATAGTGGACGCTCTAAGAGAAGTGAATTTATCGAATCAACTTAAGACTGTTTTAAAAATATATGTCTATAGTGTAATGTCTACAGTGTATAAGAGTAGGAGGAAGAATGTCGCATCATTGAAATACGTCAGAGGAAATCATTTCTGTCAAACCTTTCAACCTTAAATCCGGAAAATCCAAAAAACCAAAAAAGTTAAATATTTTATTTATGGAAGTTATATTCATTATATATTTACTTATAGTCATTAAAAAAATTGCAGGAAGTGTGAGTCTAATCTATAATTGTAAAAGCCATGCAAAGATCCTATAAAAATATCACACTTAATGGTTATACACGGAGTTATAACACACAGAGTTTCAAATACTTGGAAAAAAATATATACGATTGCCGTTCCGTAGAAGAGAATATAAAAGCAAGAATTACATACAGATTGAACGAATTTAAAACGGATCATACAATTTAATATATGTCTGTTTGAACTGCATTTGAAATAGTGGACCAATAAAAAACTTGGACAAAAATAAATCCATACCCGGTGTTAGACATTGTATAAAATATCGTTCAACTATATGTCTCCTTTTGGAACCCACCATAGTCTAGAGCGCAGCTCAAAGTCAATGTTGCCAATGGCCGTGTAATAATCCGATTTGCGGATCTTTTTGAGAGTTATATCTTCTTCGTATTTTTAAATAGATCGGATATTTGCCTATATTTTTCATTGTATTTACCAATATACTACAACAGAATAATAACAAAAATAAACTTAATAGTTTGTAGTTATTTCAGAAGTTTGTAGTTATTTTAGAAACATCTAGTGGGTTGAGATTGGCAACACCGCTCAAAATCTTCATATCCGATAAACGAAAGAGGGGCTTGCCTAAAGGCGGCCACTCACGATACAGCGGCGTTGTTCAATTTCGTTTTTAACTACACACTTGCTTTGATCATATCATAGGAAATCAAAATGGCTTGATTTAGCGAGAATTTTTTAAGACAGTTTTTTAAATTATATAAAAAACACGAATGCTTATAGCGATTAAAAGGTATAACGTATCACGATAGAAACGCCCAAAAACAGGTAAAGGACATTCAAGTTTTAAAGTTCCAAGAAGTAAACAAAGATGCGAATGAAGAGTATGTAAGAAAAAAAATGAACAATTTTAGAACATCCTATAAAAGAGAATTAAAATTAGCAGTGCAGTCCAGTAAATTGGGTGCAGGGGCAGACGAGATTTATTTTGCACCAAAATCTTGGATTCTTTGCACCAGAATCTACGTTTTATTTTAGGTTTCTTTTTACGCTTAGTTATACACAAAGTAAGAGATGCTAAAATGATTGTTTGATTTGACATGGTCGAGAACCGAACAAATATTGCGGCGCAGTATGGTGTGTGGGCGCACCAGATATACCAACAAATTGAACAACGCCTCTGCCGGAATATGTCGAACGACACCGCTGTACCGTGAGTGGCCGGCTTTAGGAAGCGATAGGTGGTTTGACCACCTATGAATGAGTTCTTGAATTAGTTCAGAATCCAGCAGCCCGCTGAAGTATTGGATTTTTATAATATAATTATTTGACAACCTTTTGTTGGCCAACCACCTACAGCAGAATTGAGCCGAAATACATAATACTTCGTATGTTCCGAATTTATTTCGTTTAATCTGTATATGGGGCAGCAACTTGAGCCATTACAAATGGAGTACAATCACATAGAAGGATTCTATGAGAAACAATTTACATAGTCAGTAATAAAAAAAGAATAAAAGAGCAAACATATATAAGAACAACAAGCGAGCAGGCTATACCGTACAGAGAACCTAACCTGGTGGCGGTTCCTTCCGAAAATTCCCAAAAGAGAAGAAATTAAGGAAAATTATCGAGGAATCCACTTTTGCTGGATAGATGGTGTTAAAGAGGAAATTGGTAGTCAGAAGATTGGCAATAGAGACTCAGGATCGATCTGTTCAGAGACAGATAGTTGCTCAGACACGGACCCATCATTAACGCCTTAGAGTAACAATGGTAATAATGTTAAAATTAGCATTTTAAAAGTAAGAATTTCAAAATGGAATGGTAAATTTCATAAGTAAATTCATCCTTGCACTAACTGTTTTTTAATAAATCACTGAGGTAATGCATAATATATTATTAGATAAAATGGGTGTGTCAGAACAAAAATGGTCCAAGTCCAGTTTTAGACAGTGTGAGAAAATAAGTGTTTTTAATTCTTACATATAGTAACTTCTAGTAAGTACAGGTTTTTTTTATTGTAATCCTGATATATTTTTTTAAATGTTGTTTATTTGTATTATTTAATTTTAAAACACAAATTGAGTAATATTAAATAACACCTGCAAAATTTAAAGTGTAAATAACACCTGATTAATCGTTTAATTTACACAAATTAAACAAAACGTGAAAAAATGCTTACATGATCAAAAAATAACAAAATGTTCCAAAAACATGATAAAACACACTTCTAATCTTCATATTGGTATTCGTCTCCAGATTCTTCATTGAACTCCAGTAATTCTTCCTGGTGTAATGATCTGGTATTAGTGACAGCTAATAGTGGTAGATTCTTATAATATGTGTGATATATTGGTGAAATAAAAGGGAGTAACGATTTCATTTACTTACTTACAAACTTACTTACTTCAATTTACTTACAAAGATTAAAAATGGATATCCCCTTTTAAATTTAATTTTTAAAATTTTAAGCCAATTAATGGCATTTTTTTCCACATCCACTTTTCTATTTGTAATGTTTGCTTTAAGGTTTTCTGTAGAAATGAAATTTAGTGTTTTAAATGTACCACTTTATAAGGATCCCTTTTCTTTTGGCACCTTCCATAATTCTGATCCAATCTTCTGGTCCGTATGAGTTTATTTTTGCTGAACCTTTCTACTATCCCAAAGTCTACGTCATTCGGAAGATAAAAATGACCTGAAATCATAAAACGTAGATCTATTTCTTGCACAGCCATTTCATCATCATGGCAAAGCTGTAGAAGCACTAACAAAAGATTTATGTTCTGCCCTCCACAACTATCACTGTATATAACAATTTTTTGTCGATGCATATTTTTTAGATGCATTTCGAGAACTGAAGCTATGTCTTGGAACCCTCTTTCACCCTCTATTTCGTTCCAAACATACATTACAGGTAGGCTGGATTTATAGGATGAACACCGCAGTTGTATGCATACATATTGCGTTTATAGTAAGCTATTGAGGTGGTCAACTTAGGAAAAGGTAGAGCTTTTTGAAGATAGAATGTCAACGAGTACCGCAGCGTTGAAGTTTTATTGACCTCCTTCTGTAGATAAGTTCTCATTGGTTCAGGTTTGGTAAGGTGCAATTTCATGGCAGTTTTCAATTTTAGCTTCATTGGTTTCATCACTCTCCACCTTCAGTTTCATTGACCAAGAGTCACACTTACTGCAAGGTTCTTTGCTCGGAGGTTTGAAGTGTAAATTAAATTTGGTATTAAAAACGTGGTAGTAATACTTTTGTTTAATAGGTGATTTGTTTTCTAATTCACACTTGTCTACGGATAAGTGGTACATCTTCTTGATTGTCAGTTCACTGTTTAAATATTTACGGTTGGGTTTGTGTGTACGAGGATAATGACTCGAAAATGCTAAAAAAGATACAATGTGGGCGCCTTTTTTGCGTGTTTTTAGCTGGGGCGCTTCTCCTTGCCTCAAATACGCTGTGGAATTCTTCCTTAACGAGACATCTTTCATCTTTTCCCAGATGATACAGTAGGTTTTAAGAATTAGTTTTTTACATATTTGAATAATCAGCTATATTCAGAAAATATTTATATGAACGATTTTTGGGAGCAATGTTAACATTTCGTACACGGGATGTCACAGTTTTTGCAATTTTTATACAGCCACGCAAGTAGGTTTTTGCTAGCTATAATCTCCTAAATGCCAAAAAGAGTTCAACAATGAACGCCGTTTGTTTATATCAACTTATTCTATACATTGTCGTCGACAACGACAGTCAAAGTCAGATAGAAAAATATTACCTTTAACTACACACCCAAATATTCATAGGTTTAGCAAGTGTATGTAGCAATGTACGTACAAAGTTTTTTAATAAAAAATTTTTAATATATGGTATACAGCCAACTACAGGAACGTATATTTCTTGTGGATATTTGTTTATATGTTTTTATATATTCACTTTTGTTCAACAACTTGTCATAACACATAACTTGATGTCAAAAGAAAGTTATGCCTCCATATTGGACCGTTTTGACATTATTGACAACGTATATTCCTTGTGGATATTTGTTTAAATGTTTTTAATATATTTGCTTTTGTTCAATAACTTGTGATAACACATAACTTGCTGTCAAAAAGAAAGTTACTGCCCTCCATATTGGACCGTTTCGACATTTGATATAACTGCCATAGCTTTATATTTGTCCAAACAATTTTCTTCTTTGTAGTCTATGATCTGAACAGACCACACGAGTTTTCTTTTCTTCTTTTTGGAGTGCCCTCTTTCTTTCTGAAGGTCGGCAACAATTCTGACAAATCTTTCTTCATCCTGTGCTACTATCAAAAAGAATTAAGCATCGAGACCCGTCCACTCTCTAATGGACTATGTTGTCTTTAACCATGAACATCTTCTACTACCTATACCTCTGCTTTCTTTAATTTTCTTTTCTTTGACAATCTCAAGAATTTAAGTAGGCTAACTTGGTAAGTAGTTCTCTGCCATGGTCCATTCTATGTAATACTGCCTTGTTAGCAACATGGTATTTTTAAACACCCACATCTCGAAGGTCTCCAACCTTCTCATAGCACTTAGGTTCATTGTCCATGCCTTTGTCCCATATAAGAAATTTTCCCATATAGAGTTTTCTTTTAGAAAATATTTTCCAAAATATCTTACTATTATTTGTTTTTCTTCGATCAAATATTCCACAATTCTATTTTAAATGTTCCTTAACATAATGATTGCAAAATCTAAGGGGTCCGATCGCTACGAACTCCCTTTGACGTATAAAGTGTTGTTGTTCTTTGGAACACGTTTGTGTGATATTTAACTGAAAGTTCTAGCGAGTGAAATAAAATGTGAGTGAAACAACTGAGCAACTTGCTAATAATATTTAAGAAATATATTTTTTACATAAAAATACAGAATTTTTTTGTTTAATTTTAGCGCTTATTAAAAAACTGAATATTTTGTTTTTTGATATAATATATTTATTTTATTTACATGCTTGTATTCTATACAAAATAGTTGCAATGTTTTGCATCTACCAGGTGTAAGGTGACGGCTTATTTTTTTTAATCCTTATCACTTTAATTTATGCTTAACATTATTTACTTCTTTTAGTTTTTTGTGGTTTTTGGGAATGGTATCACACATTCCCATTAACTCGGCTCATAGGGCACAGAGCCACCTTCTCTGTCGCTCATATGAGTAATTCCTGTCTGGCGCGTCCATGTCGCGGGGGTGGGCATCTCTTGCTTCAGTAGACCGGAGCTAGTAGATGGCTAAGTTCAGATAGGGACCCAGTTCCGTGGGGTATAACATGGCCCCCTTGCCCAGGGATACGGGTGAAGACCACAACGATGATGAAGGTGGAGAATATAGTATTCGGTTCAGTGAATTCAACGGAAGTGGCAACCCTGTTTCTAGGGATAGTATAGAATCAACCTGGTGAAGGGCAGCAGCGATCACCAGTACTAGAATTAGGCGTAAAGGAAATGATCCTAAACCGGCTTCTTACTAGAATACCGTAGGTGAGACTGAAACAGTTAGAGGGCTACGGTACTGCGATGCGGAAAGCAAGTAGGAAACTACCGCATTATATTCCTCAGGACATCCGTCCGTAGATTTTTTCTTGTCATGTTGGAAGAAACAAAACAAACGGCCCCTAGTCCCGGGCAGGCCTTAAATGGTCAAGGGGTGCGAAGAATCTCCCGGTTTCAACTTGATAAGACAATCAAAATTGCTACGTGGAATGTCAGAAGCCTATTTGCAGCAGGCAAACTACAAAATCTAATTCAGGAAATGAACAGAATTAACATCGATATTCTCGGCATAAGCGAATTGCGATGGGAAGGCACAGGCATGATCAATACTACTGGTAAAACCCTTTACTACTCATGCAGTGATAGCACAGACCCTCACCACAGACATGGGGTGGGAGTTCTGATAAGCGAAAATTTGCGCGCCTCCGTGAAGAACTTTGTCCCGATCTCCGAAAGAGTCATACTTATTCAGTTGCATGGAAAAGTTAACATAAATATTATACAAGTCTACGCCCCTACAGCAGACAAGCCAGAAGAAGAACTAGAGCGATTTTATCAACAGCTAGACGAAGCCTTAAAGGTGACTAAGAATCACGAAATTAACATCGTATTAGGAGACTTCAACGCAAAAGTTGGGGAAGGAGCTGTAGATCACGTAGTTGGAAAATATGGTCTTGGTCAGAAGAAACGACAGAGGGGACAGATTGATACAGTACTGTCAAGACAAAGATCTAGTCATAACGAATACTTGGTATAAGTTACCACCCAGGAGGCTTTACACATGGAAGTCGCCTTTAGACCGACATCAGGGCATTATAAGGAACCAAATAGATTATGTGACAATTAATAGAAGGTACAGGAATGCTATTACTAAGGTATCTGCATTACCTGGAGCAGACATAGGATCCGACCACAATCCCTTAGTAGCAAATATCAAACTGAGGCTCGCTACAGCTAAAAGAAAACACCAGAAGGCATCAGTAAACATTAGAAAACTCAAAAACAATGAAACAAATGAAGCGTACACAGAGGAAATAAACAATAGGTTCTCTAATATGGCAACTGAGAATGATGTTGAAAAGTCATGGACCACCATAAAAGAATCATTTGATGAGTTGAACAACACTTTTCTACTCGAGAGTAAAACAACTACCAAGAATGAGTGGATGACAGAAGAAATATTAGAGATGATGGAACAACGCAGGCAGTGTAAGATCAGGCAGGACGAAATAGGGTACCGAAATATACACAGTCAAATTCGTAAAGAAATTATAGCGGCGAAGGAGATCTGGATGACTACACTTTGCGCCGAGGCTGAAAGCCTATATAAACTTGGCGACAGCTTCAATCTTCACAAGAAAATTAAGGAAATTGCTGGTGTCTTCAAGAAAAAACAAGTCACTGGTATACATAATGACCAAAATGAATTAATAACGGACCCTAGCGATATACTTAATACTTGGAAAATGTACACAGCCAATTTGTTCAATGATGACAGAACACAAAAACCACCACAACTGGGAGACCATTTGTATGGCCCAAGTATTTTGAAAGCTGAAATTGTACACGCTATCAAACTATTAAAAAGTAACAAAACTCCAGGACCAGATGATATGTACGCAGAAACAATCAAGTTACTTAATGAAGAAAACCTAGACATTATTGTCAAGCTCTTTAACGACATCTACGATACGGGCCAGATTCCAAAAGATTGGCTTCGATCTACATTTATTGCCCTACCAAAAACACCACGTGCGAACTTCTGCAAGGACCACCGACTAATAAGCCTAATGAGTCACTTTTTAAAACTTTTCCTGAGAATACTTCACACTAGATTGTTTAAGAAATGTGAAGAGGTCAGTGGATGGAGTCAGTTTGGTTTCAAAAATGGACTTGGCACGAGAGAAGCGATCTTTAGTATGCAAACATTGATACAGAATTGTTTAGATCAAAGAAAGGATGTTTTTATCTGTTTCATCGATTACGAGAAAGCATTCGATAATGTAAAACATGAATTGATGATAAAATACCTACAAGAGTTGGGATTGTATGCAAAGGATATAAGAATCATCGCCAATCTGTATTGGAATCAGACAGCAACAGTACGTCTTCAAAATTTCAACGAAACAGAAGATTTCTCCATTAAAAAAGGAGTAAGGCAAGGTTGTATACTGTCCCCAATGCTGTTCAATTTATACGTAGAAAAAGCCTTCGCAGAAGCAGTGGAGGACTCTAATAAGGGTATTAAAGTTAACGGCATATTTATTAATAACATCAGGTATGCCGACGATACAGCCATAGTGGCAGATAACATCGAAGATCTTCAATGCCTTTTAAATGATCTAACTCTTGCAAGTGAAGCTCGGGGTTTGAAAATAAATATCAAGAAGACAAAATCAATGATTATAAGTAGAAATGATTACCCCAACGCAAAGATATATGTCTCTGGAGAAGAAATCGAACAAGTCAGGCAATTCAAATACTTGGGATGTTTGCTGAATGAGGGTTGGGACCCCGAGAATGAAATAAAGAGCAGAGTTGAACAAGCCAGAAATGCTTTTTTGAGGCTTCGTAAGTTTCTGACTGATCGCAAATTGGACTTCAATCTCCGATACAAGATGCTTAAATGTTACGTGTGGCCTGTTCTCCTGTACGGAATGGAAGCATGGACGTTAAAGGCCAGTTCCATTAACAAACTTGAAGTGTTTGAAATGTGGTGCCTGCGTCGAATGCTCAGAATATCATGGACGGACAGGGTCAGAAATGAGGAAGTACTCAGAAGAGCGGGCTTACAGGATAGGGAACTTTTTAATTATGTAAAAAGTAAGAAGACTGCATACTTGGGGCACATTATACGAGGAGAACGATACACTTTTCAGCAACTGATTCTCGAAGGGAAAATAGAGGGTAGGAGAGGTCTCGGACGTAAAAAAATGTCATGGCTGCGCAATATTCGACAATGGACA